TGTAAATAGGATCACAAGTCTGCATCTTGTACAGCAATTAACCACTAAGAAGAATATATGCAGTGTATTATTTGTTGAAAAATTTAAAAAAAAAAAAAAAAAAAACAATCTCATGGTCCTAGTTTCTGGGGGAACAGTTGTACCCCTGTGATTGGTTAGCGCTCTCTCCCAGTGTACCATGGGAACATCTAAACTCCAGTTTGGTCCTGTGTAACAAAAGGATGGACACTGAGAGAAAAACAAACACCTACAGAGATTTATTTGTCTCATCCTAGACTTGCTACCACCAGGACCTGTCCCAGCTTCGGGAACCACCAGGGGGCGTCGAGGATTAGGTCCTGCTATGCTTGGCCTTCCAAGGTCAAACCAGGATCCAGTGACCAGACCAGCTGTTCCGGTTGTGTACGTGAAGCCGCCACCTAGGCACTGATCTTAGCCTGGGAAATTTGTGTCCCCCAGAGCTCTTTCTCCTTATGTGGGCCATCAAAGGCTCGATGTGCCTAGAGCCTTGGTGGGTGGGGGTAGGGATGGAAAATGGGTCAGGGGGTAAGTGACAGGTGACAGCACAGGAGCAAAAGAGGCTCCCAAGTGTGGGGCCTTACTGTAAGCTGCGAAGTTAGGCACATCTGTTGGTAACGGAATAATGGAATACCATACGGTTGTCTGATGCTCTCTCCCTCTGCCTTTGTATAGCTCCTATTACATACTTTTTAAAAAATATATTTGGTACAGGTCTCACTATGCAGCTCCAACTCATGATCCTCCTGTTTTCAGCCATCCCAGCAAGGCTGTGGTGCCGGGGATGGAACCCTGGTCCCTGTGCTTGCCTAAGCAGGTGCTTAGTCCACTGAGCTATCTCTCTGGCCCTTAAGTACTGTTTTCATAGGTAACTATGCTGGATTAGAATTTCCTTATGTTTTACAAAAGCATATAATTGTATCGTTAACATTTTTAGTACTTTTTATACCATGGAGAAATTCTTCAAATGTGTATAGAATCAGTTTTTACCAAATGAAATTATATACCAGGCATGTTGACACTTGCCTGGAATGCCAGCACTGGGGGTGCTGAGGCAGGAGGATCACCTTGAGTTTAACACCAACCTGGGCTATATAGTAAATTCTATTCCAGCCTGAAATGCATAGCGAGACCCCAATTCAAAAAAAAAAAAAAAAAGCAATCATAATATGATTTGAAACTGTCTCATTGCTGTTTATCAATAAAACTTTGAAAAAAAAAATAAACTAAAATGCCCGAGGGAGGCCCCTATCCGAAACTAAATCTGCAACCAGTGAACGATGAGTTGTGTGGACTGCTTCCAAGTAAAATTCTCATGGTGGTGTTTGAACTGTGTTCAGAATTTGTGCCCTCACACATGGTCCCATGGCAAACTACCTGACTAGGAAATGGCTGCTCCCTGGCTGCTGCGGGTGGGACTTGATGACACCTCGCTGAAATAATGAGACAGGACACGCTGTCCCAAATGTTTACTAGGCAAGGGGCCGGGGAGGTAGCTCAGTAGAATAAGCACTTGCCTGGTCAAATATTTACTAGGCAGTTTTAAGCCAGGTGGAGTTCAAGACTGCCTGCCAACATTTGAAAACTAAAAGTAAAAAGAGAAGACATTCTGGACATGGAGTGATGTTCAAATCTTTTGTTTGTTATTTTTTTTTTTTGGTTGGGAGACCTGAGTTCCAATCATTGTTTTGTGGCTGGGACACTAGCTGATTTTTGTTGTTGTTTGTTTTGTTTTGTTTTTGAGATAGGGTCTCACTATGAGTTCAGGCTGGCCTTGAACTCACTAAGTAGCCCACCCTGGCCTCAAACTTGCACTGGTCCTCCTGCTTTAGACTTCCAAGTGCTGGGGTTATAGGTAAGTGCCACCATGCCTGGCCACTACTCAACTGTCCCAGCCTACAGTTTCTTCAAGACTGAAATGAAGCTGTGGCAATAGATTATTAGGTGAGCTACAGAGTCTCCTTCAGATCTATGAAAACAATCAGATAAAGAGCCCAAAGTATTATGCATTTGAAGCAGATACAGAAGGGGCATACATGTAAGGGTAAGTCACACAAAGAAAGCTACATGGCTGTACTGTTGGGAGCAGCTGAAGCAGGACACTGGTCACTTGTGTGAGGGCCAGAGAGGGCCACATTGCCTAAAAAGTCAGACTACCACAGTCTTGAGAAAAGCATCCTGCCTGGACAAATTCAGTCATTAGTTGTCAGGCAACCTTGTATCTCTTGATACTAACTTTGAAAGGTATGAACTCCCCTACTGTTGTTCTTTGGGTCAAGCAAACAGGCCTTCACCTGACCCAGCTCTTGTCTCTTGTCTATGTTTTCCTCATTCTTGCTGCTGTTCTTCCCCTCCACTATTAATTTACCTACTTTCTTCATCTTCCTTCCCCAGCTTACTTTGGGGATCAGTAACCAATCAGATACAGTCACCAACATTTTTGAAATTGCACATTTCATGGCTATATTTTTTCTTTTCATAATTTCTTCTGGAAAGGCTAAAGGATAGCTTGGTACAGAGATTTGAGGAATTTTTTTTTTCTCTGTGTAAACTTTTCTGCTAGGCCCAAAGGTGTTCACCCCTGAGAGTGTGGAAATGAGAAACACCACCAGCTCACCATTAGGGAAGAAAAAAAAAAAATCAAAGCTCAGATTCTTGAGTCTCAGGGGCCTCCAGTTGTTGCACTGATTACACACACCAGTGTACTCACCCAGTCTCCAAGACACTTTGTTATTACCATCAGGAAATAAGACCTGGACATCAGAGCTATCCGCTATTGAGCACTTCCCATTTGTCAGGCATTGCATGAGGTCCTTTGTATCATTTCAGATGGAGCTTTACCTATGAGGTTAGGTATTATTGTCCTCATTTTGTAGATGAGGAAACAGACCATCTGATGGTTTCTTAAATGTCAGCTGAAGTTGTGCTGTGTTATAGTGGTAGAAACAGAACTGAAACCCAGTTCTCCTTAGATCCTCATAGACAGGTAACAGAGCAATTTTTGGAAGATTCATGCCCAGCAGTCTGTCTGTCTGTCTGTGCCTGTGTCTATCTGTCTGTCTCTCTCTTTGTGTTTGATTTTTGCTTCATCCTAGTAGGATTTGTGATGCTTAAATCAGATGGTCACATAGCCACCCATACAGTAACATGTCAAGGAGTTTCAGGAAATGCTCTAGACAATTAGAATGAAGAGCTTCCCTCTGAGAAAATGCAATTACAGTGGACAAAAGTAACATAAGTCAAAAGTGGGGGAGGGGGAGGCAAATAATTCTTCCCATTTCATTTCCTTGGTTGCACATTATTTTAAATGTTATTGTAAATTTTCCTCTTCTCAATGAAAGCTCTGTGTTCCATGGTTGCCTTAACAATCAACCTCTCCCACAGGATGGGGATCTTTAACGCTACTGATTTCATCAGAGACTGCTCTGGACAGACAGTGGGCTCTCCCATTGGTTAGTGCTTGTAGCTTCAAAAGGCAGCATATCCAAGGATCTATGGGGTTCCAGAGAAGGTACTGATACAGTGACACTTTCTATACGACCCAGACTTGAAAGTGTCTCTCATTCTTGCGAGAGGAGGTTGTACTTTGGAGGAATCTTTTTCTTTGGCTAATCCAGATGGAAGATGCTCTCTAAAGTATGGTGCACCTTAGAATTGAAGTTGAACACTATCCCAGGAGATGAAGGCAGAACCTTTTAGAGGAGCTGGGTGGTCTCCTAGGTGATGACTGGGAATTACAGTAGAAGAAATAAGCCAGAATAGAAGAATGCTCAGCCCTCTGTCATGCTGGATATGAGACCTTGAAAAGGGCATTAGAATCATGTCCATGCATCTTCCCAGCAGGTACCTAGCTATAGACCATAATCCATAGAAGGCCATCCTGCCACCAGCTCTGACTTGGATATGATACTACTGGGTGACAATTATCACTGCAATGTCATCTCCCCAAATAAGCAATTGACCATCTCTTTTAAATAGAAATAGAATATAATGGTAGTTAAGACCCTGGGGTTTGCCTTTTTGGCTGTGTGGCTTATAGAAGGAAGGTATTTACTTAGCTCTACTTCTTCTGCTATAACACAAAGGTTAAGAAGAAGCCAAATGAATTAATATATGTAAAGTACAGCAGTTGGCACCAAGATAGAGCTCAACTAATGTCAGCTATCATGATTATCCCCATTGTGTGTGTATAGAATTTTTGTATTCTTTAGATGTATTTACATTAAAATGCCATCCATAGATATTGACTTCATTTTTTCAGTAGTAATGGGATTTTATAGAGACTGAATGATTGGAGTCTAACTTTTATGAACTCCCAGCTCAATGCTCTATTTGCCATATCAAATATGCAAATTATGACATATACATATTCACATGCACCAGCCTTTGCTGATATTCAAACATTTCCTGTTAAATATATAAATATTTATATATTTAAAATGTTTTCAATATTTATTTATTTATTTATTTATTTATTTGGTACAGGATCTTGCTACCCAGCTCAGACTCCTAGGGATCCTTCTGTCTCAGCTTCCTCGGCACTGGGATTACAAGAGTGCACCATGATACCTGGTTTCCATGGCTGGCTCTTGCAGTTGCCAGACAGGCATTTAGACTACAAGAACTATCTCCCCAGCTCGTTTTTTGTTGATGAAGAAATGATGAGGCATGTCTATGCTCAGAACAGCTTACCTTGGGGAGCCTGTACTTTTCCCTGAGGTGGACTCTGAGGCATGCCCTCTCAGCCTTTTTTTGTGTAAATGCAGCATCTCTTTCCATCCTAAAAGTTAAAGAATAAAGGATCATAAGAACATGGTGATTCAGGGCATTCTGGCCACTGTTCAGAGAAGCAGGGTCCTGGGACACACTCAGCTCCTGTTGCCAGCAGACACCTAGGAAATGTAGAATTTTCTCATGATATCCTAAATGTCTGCTCTTCCATCACTCTACCTCATTGCTTAATGCATACCTGAGCCCCAAAGACAACGTGGGACTGCATCTCTTTGTGATGTAACTGGAGAGGCAGGGCTATGACTCCTAACAAAGCTACCCATGGACTGTGTGGTATAAAACCAGCAGCCTCAGAATTGCTTGCAACAAAAACAGCTTCCTGGGCAGAGGTCAGTTCTGCTGGGCCAGAACCCCGGGAACAGGCGAGAGGAAGCTACATTTCTAAAAAGCTTCCTGAGTAATTCTTAGCAAAGAAAAAAGGGTGCTACCTATTGTATCCAGCAGCAGGGCATCCTTTGGAGGCCCATGATATTTGGGGATTTAATATAGTTTCCCTTGGGTTTGATGAAGGTTTATTATATGCATTTATGAAAATACCACAGGGAAACCAATTACTCTGTTATAACCACTATGTACTACTTGAAGGGGGTGATAATATTATTATTATTTTTTAAATAGCTGTTTCCCTTCATTGTCACCAACTCCAATTTAGGCAGGATTCCATTCCCAGTTACGAGAAAGTATTCTGAAACAAGGTAGATTCCCTCCCCTAATGCTGTACTGGGATACCACTCTGTGGATCACTTACTTGGGCTCATGACTACTCCAGTTAGAAACACATTCCCTTGCTCATGATACCCCAGACAAAGGCACACATCTCTGGGGATGCGTGCAAAGCTTAAGGAAACTGCTTCCACTCCCAGTGGCCCACAAAAGTGTACTACTGGCCGCTACATTTGTACATGTGGCTTTGCCCCCTGCTTTGGGTTGGTCCAAACTGGGCCAATTAAATCTGCTTTGGAATTTGGGATTGAGACTGAGACAGACTGGAAGGGTGGCTGGAACTGCAGCAGGTGAACCTGACAGCCTTGGCTGCAATTCTCCTTTGGCCAGGTGATCTGGGCAACAGAGCACAGAAAAGAGAGCTGGCTGCTGAGGAAAGAACAAGGTCACCCTGCAGACTAGAAGCAAGGCATGATGGGAAAAATGCGAGTGGATTCTCAACAGCCTTCTGGCTCCACACTAGGCCTGGGGGGTTTCTGCTCTTGTGTTGGGTGAAGCTTATTTGGATAAAATATTGTTTATATTTAAATAAATCCCATTTTCTTATCAAAATTGGCTATTGCCTCATCCCAAGTTTTAAAATAATCTTAACAGTTACACAGAATGCTGACTGCAAAGAAGTGAGCAATCGGATGGAACTATTGGATCCTGGATTCAGATGCTCTCTGAATTCAGTTCCATCTGTACAATATCTAGTCTGGGTTGAGCCTTGTAGTTTTGAGAGGAAAATAGGATAAAGTGACTTGCTCACAAGGGTAACAGTCTGTGCTATAAGCAAGAAGCAGGTCCTTCCTCATCCCATTATGTTAGAAAAACTTTCAAATATATAAAAAAGTTGAGAGAATTTTACAAAGTCCCATCATCTAGATTCTATAATTCACATCTCATATATATTTTTATCACTTGTCATCTATTCATTTTATCTATCTTATAGAATGTATTGGTATGCATTCACAATACATACTAAGTGCATTCATCTTGGGAAATTAGTAATATACACATTGCATCATAATAATTTTCTTTTTTAATTTGTGTATTTGGTACAGGGTCTCACTACACAGCTCAAAATCATAGTGATCCTGTTTTCAGCCTCCCCAGTGCTGGGATTATAGGGGTGCACCACCATGCCTGCCCGGACTCTGTTGCCAGCACAGTGTGCACTGGAGGTGGGGCTGGCGCAGCATGTGGGACCCGGGATTGAACACTGGTCCCTTATTATAATAGTTTTGATTTCCCCTTGTCCTCTCTGCTCCTGCCTGTCTTCCCATCTCTAGTCTCTTCCCAGCTCTACAAAGTCTACATCCCTGTTTCCTATTATTTATCTTCTCTGTATTGTTCCAATTTTAGTTATATGCGCTGCCAAAGTGAACACTATCTATCTTCATTTTTGGTGTATTTTAAAATTGTAGAAATCAGTACATTTCCCCTAAACATGTCAATTTGCATAGCATTATTTATTTATGGTTCCTGTTTCTTTTTGAGGCAAAATTTGCATACAATGCTCTAAAAAGTCCACATTTATGTAACCTAAATCCGTATAAAGATATGAAACATTATTTTCACCTGATAAAATTCCCTCATTCTCATTTTTTTTTTCTTTTTTGTATTTTAGGGAAGGGTTTACAGGGTGTTTAGGGTCTCACCACTAGATCGGACTCATAGTGATCCACCTGTTTACAGCCTCCCAAGAACTGTCTTTCTCATTCTTGATTAAACCCTCCTCCAGTTATAGGGCAGTTACCATCCTTTCTCCACTAGGGATTAGTTTTTGTTTGTTCTAGAACTTCATGTAAATAGAATCATATATATTATATTCTCTTATGTAAGGCTTATAAAACTCTCCATAGAAAACTTTCAGATTCAAGTTTTATCACTAGTGTATTTCCTTTTCTCTTGGGTAGTATTTTATGTACAAATATAACATCACATATTCATTCTGCTGGTGATATACACCTGAATTACTGGCCATTTGGGGTAATGGCAAATGAAATTCCTATGGACATTCTTGAACAAATCATATTATGGACATGTATTTTTGTTTCTTTTAGGTAAATATCTAGGCATGAGATGTGTTGGGTTGTTGGGTAATTTAGTTGAGTATGTTTAGTCTTATAAGAAATAGTTGGACCATTTCCTAAAGTGATTATGCTATCTTACATTTCTATAAATAGGACAAGAGTTCTAGTGGTTTCACATTTGAGTCAACCTTTGGTTCTTTTGTTAACCTTTGATACTTTGCATCTGTTTAATTTTATCCATTCTGATGTATAGTGGCAACTTACCATGTTTTAAAAAGTTTTTTGGTTTCCTTGAGGACTAAAGATATTAATGAGCTTTTTTTTTTTTTTTTGCATGAACTAATTTGCTACATGTGTAAACTTGTGAAGTTCTGTTCAATCAATTAGCTCTTTTTCTTTATTATTGAGTTGCAAATCTTTATGTCCCAGATCCCAGTCCTTTTACAGACATATGTTTTGCAAATATTTTCTCTCAGTGGGGCCAGGGAGACAGTTCAGTTGAATAAGTGCTTGCCTGGCAAGCACAAGGGCCTGAGTTCAATCCCTGGCTCCACTAAATAAATAAATAAATAAATAAATAAATAAATAAATTCTCTCAGTCTGTGTCTTATTTACTCAATACCTTTGATGCAAAAAACTTTTTTTTATTTTGATAGAATCTAATCTATTAAACTAAAACCTTATAATTATTCCTGAGACACAATAAACCTTCACTTACTAGTTGCCAAAATAGTCTTCTGTTCTAGAAGTTGTATAGTGTCAGCTTTTACAGTTAGGTGTACGATGCCCATAGTTATTGGGTGTGATGTACAATAGAGGTAAAAGTTGGATGCTTTTCAGTTATTTCAGTACTATTTGTTGAACTGACTTTTCAATCCCTATTTGTATTTTGTTATCTTTGCTGAAAATGAAATAACTGTAAATTCATTGTCAATCCTAATGCCACACAGATTCCACCATCCAGATGTAGCTTAGAAATAACTGAGAAAAACTAGTTGTGCTGTTGAATATGGGGCTGGTTTCTACTCAAATAGAGGGCATTGTTAGGTAGTTTTTTTCATTTACAATTAGTAGAGCCAATCCCATTACTTTTCTAAAAATCACAAGGTAGATTTAGAGGCTCCTATTTGCTAATATTTGTTTTGATTATATATACTGCACTATCTACATAGCTGTCTCTACACTTGGGACCAGCAGGCATTTTGGATCCTTACTTCTTCATAGCACAATCTAGGTAATAAAGATCCTAAAAATTGAGGTCATGGGTGAGAGGTCCTCTCTATTGCCAAGAGCAGGTGCCACTGCTGCTCCTTAAATTAGGAGACTAAATAAATTTGTAATATTCTCATGCACATACAGAAAAAGCCAATCAGTTCACAGACATCCCAGTCTACTAATCAACCACTCCATTTAACTATCTTGACTTTCAGGTGTCTATACACAAAATTAAGAAAAGCAAAGACACTGAACAAGTGTCTGTGATTTATTGTATGGGCATATTAAATGACATTTTGTGTGATCATGTATATAATCTGAATTTCTGACCTCTTTTTTTCGGAACCAGGATTGAACTCAGGCTCTTGCACTTGCCAGGCAAGCGCTTATCCTACTGAGCTATCTCCCCAGCCCTCTGACCATTTTCATTAGCTTGCTTGAACTGAAAGTTTATGATGATCTTCTACTTTTTCTTCATTATACTTGTTTTTCTCTTCCAGCTTAGCCTTTATATGCTATAGGCAAAGCAGACCACTACTCAAGGAATATTGCTTTCTTTGCCAAAACTTTATCTTAGCGCCAAAATCATTTTCCCACTTACATTTTCTCTTTCTTTCTTTCTTTCTTTCTTTCTTTCTTTCTTTCTTTCTTTCTTTCTTTCTTTTTCTTAACTGAACTTACAGCAAAACCAAGCAAAATGCATTCTGGGTAGCTTAGAAGCCATGATTTCTTTCAGAAAACACAAAAGGCAAAGTTTCCACTAAATGTAGGTTTTGTATTTCTGAGTTTCCTCCAGGTCATTAACCTTTTTCACCTATAATCATCTTAGCGATAAGACTTGGGCAACTATTATATAATTGTTCCTTAGCAAAACAGCCTCATTTTTACAATGTATGATGAACATTTAAAGGGTATGTTGGCACTTTAACTTTGTTATTAAATAAAGACTTAATTCCATTTAAAATTACACATATTATCAGTCTTTGAATAGTGACACATTATCATTGGTGCTATTCATAGTCCATCAGTGCTACAGTAGCTATATTTTACTTTTATTATATTTCATATAGCCAGGAAAATACCCTTATTTTTAGAGGTAGAGGACTGAAATATTTAGGAGGAAGTACCATGACAACTGTAATTGACACTTACAATGCAGTTATGGCATGCTATTTACTGTTGACTTTATGTGATCAGTATTTTGGGGCATGCATAATGCTATTCTATTTTTCTGTGTGCTAATATTTTGCAATAAGCAATCCACAAAATTTTTATAGTCTAATAACTAAGTGTATGACAAAATGTCACGTTGTGTTTTATACTTTTTTATGCAAAATCAAGGAGGTTGCATTGTATGTTTTAGGTAGAAAGTTTGAATTCTTATGATTTGAAAACTTCCTATTTGGTAGGAAGGTGAATTTAAGAAAGACTACAAAGATAGTTATATTTATCATTTTTTGTTTGAACAATTAAATTGAGGCCAATTAAAACACACCTTGGCCAGGAAATGTTAAAGTGCTTTAAGAGCAACATACAGATTAATTTGTATTTTTCACTTCCATTCATAAAAATAGCACATAGCACTCACAGATGGTACAGAATCATTTACTCTACCCAAGTAAAATTTCCGGGGGTTAGGGACAGTCAGTCAGAGGGAAAGCCGCCTAAAAACCACAGGGCAATAAGCTTGGTGGCCGGCGAAGGTATGTCAAGACTGGGTTTCCCTTGCTTTCCAGGGGACACGCAGTGTGGTACTCACTTCTCCTCGATCATTTGCTTCTGGTATTCTTCATACTCCTCTCTAGTCATCCCTTGAGCTGCTGCTGGGTCGGATGTGCCTCCTTCTTCTTTTTTCTCCTCTGTCCCACCTCCAAATCCTAAATTCTTTACCTGGTTACTTATCATATTCTTTACAAAGAAAGCCATTGTCTCTGCCCTGGAAGACTACAACTAAAACGGGTAAAATCTGAAAACAAAATACACCTGAAATCAAACAAACCCAAGACAAAACCTCCAAATATCCTCAGCAACAGCAGTACATGGAGCAGCAAGGGATTTTGCACAGCCTCCTCTATTTAAGGGCATGATGAGAAGAGTGGTTTGTCGGCCGTAAGCTGGATTAGGCTAGTGAATGCCTTAGTATAGAGGCAGATGGTTCCGATTACTAAAGCGCACCATCAGATGCAACTGACCGCCTTCTTGATTCAAACACTCAGCTAATTTCACAGGGAGGAAACAACTTGTATTCTCTTTTCCTTTCTACCTACCCCTTTCTAAAATCATTTTTTTTTTCTTGGCAGTGCTGAGGATTGAATTTAGTGCCTTAGTTCCTCCTAGGCAAGAGTTCTGCCACTGAACTATACCTTACCACCCAAATTTTAAATTGTAAATGCAGCATGCCTTCACCAAGAGTCTTGTTTCACTTTAATCAGAGCTGGCTGATTACACAGATGTTGCTGAATTTCCAAATTCCAGCTGTTGGGCACATGATCCTGTTGAAACTGAGTCCAGTGAGACTCGAAATACAGAATGCTTCATTAAGCTGTAAGCAAAAATAATCCTTTTGATCCATATTTTATCTCATTGGATTTACAGTACAGTGCAAGGATTTGCTTTTTGGTTTTCTTGAATTTTGTCCCACTTTACTGATGATCGTCCATACCCACACAAACATTCATAACCCAAGCAAATAGGACTACTGGGCAAGCTTGGGGCCTTCTCATCAGGCCTGTCCTGCACAGAAATGTCACTCATCCACCGGGAAAGGGCGTGCCTGACACTTCCAAGGCTCTGAGCCAGAGTTGATACTCATGGGAGTCAAGTCAGCAATCTGCTCTGGGTCACTTTTTCCTTTACAGTCCACTTCCTGGGTGCTCTATTTAAGCTCCCATGTACAGCTGGATATAACTTGACAGTGTTTATAACGCAGTATGTTCTCTCTGGTGTGGCTTCTTCAGGTCAAGGTAAGAATTGAGTATGGCTAAGACTTTAATCTACACTGATGTGTTTTTAATTAAAGCTTTCCAGGAGAGGAAGGCGTGGGAGGGAAGAACTGCAACTTATTTGTAACCTGCTGTATATATTTAAGGTTTGCGTTCTGCTTTTACTAATCTATTTAAAGTGATGCTAGGGGCTGGAGAGATGGCTCAGTGGTCTAAAGCACCTACTTGGAACAAGCTTAGCAAAGCACAGGGACCGCGGTTCAATCCCCCAGCACCACATGCCAGCCAGCCCCGCCCCCTGGTGGGCTGAGCTGGCCACACACACACCACACTCTCTCTCTCTCTCTCTCTCTCTCTCTCTCTCTCTCTCTCTCAAATAAATAAAAAAAAAATTAAAAAAAAAATTCTAAAAAAAATAAATAAAGTGATGCTAAAATGACCCCAGTAGGAAAGACTAAAAAAGATAAATACAAACTTTCTGATTGAGAATGTATGTTGATACTTATCTTTACTGTCACTGTAGGGTGAGTTATTTAAAACTTAGCACATTCAAAACATTATTTCTAGAGCTGGCCAGATAACTCAGTGGACTAAACTGCCTGCTTAGGCAGGCACAGGGACCAGGGTTTGATCCCCAGAGTGCTGTGCTGGCCCCGCCCTCAGGGCATGCTGAGGTAGCAACTGAGACTGGGTGTGGTGACACACACCTGTAATTCCAGGGCTTGGAAGGCTGAAAACAGGCAATTCACTACAAGTCTGATCTGTGTAGACCCCATACTAAATACACAAAAACAACAACATTATCTCTAAACCACACTTGTATTTCATCTCCATGGAGGGATGTTATTATTTATGGTCTTATAGCATTTTATAGACTGTGAAGTCCTAGATTCCTGTTGTTTCTTGTTTTCTCACTATAGCATGCGGAATTCTCCTTTAGAAACATTCCACAAGTATTTCATGCCATTAAAAAAATACTTTTATTTTCCAAAAAATAGGAGGACCTGCCGAAGTCATCCTCTGGTATGGTTTTGGTCTGAAAGTGAAATCCCAAAGTTACACTGTTAGCCAACTAACTGGATTTGCAGGGTCTGAATCAGAAGTAGTACTCTTCCCTAAAGAACACAAAACAACAAAAATGAAAATTCATTCCATTGTAATAATTATTTGGATTTATTAAAAAAGTAATTATTAAAATTCCATTTAATTGAGTATTAGGAAATCCTATTAGCAAGAGTGTCAGTTCTAAATTCCAGACCAAGTCTGTAAAGCAGCATTTCCCTGGCCAGTCCTTTTCTATGCCTTTCTAGGGAAGAGATGAGAGGCATTACAGAGACTCTTAGGCAGAGATTGGAAGTGTGAAACTAGAATGGTCCCCGGGACTTTTTTTTTTTTCTTTTTTTGTCTTCAGCTAACACAGAAGAGATGACTTATTGTGCATGCTTTACACTCAGCCAAAGTGAGAACAGAAGTAGTCCAGAATGCCACACGCCCAGGGCAAAAAACCAGGGGACTGCTTAGTTTGAACCAGGTGGATTTCTCTTTCAGGTGGTCTTGGCGATCAGATGGCAATGAAGCTCCAATTCATTGAGACATTCTAGACAGCATGCAGCCCAAAACTTGCACCAGTGTTGTCAGCCTCCAGCATTCTTTATTTCTGTTCTCCATGGGTATACGAGCTATTTTACTTAGACCTCTGTCTCATCTTTCTTTTTTTATGCTTCAGTCTGCACATTTGCTTCTTCCTCCACTTGGCTCTCATGGCACAGAGGTTTCTAAGAAGATGGCATTAAAGTCAGGACTTCTTCACTGTATTAAATCAGTCTTCCTTGTATCCCAATAGATAATTCTATTGAGAATAAAAATGTCTTAAGATATGTTTGCTTCTCTAGTATTTGCTGCTGTGTGTCAAATCTTTGTCGAATGTTTGCAAAATCTTCCATTCTTCCAGCTAGAGGAATTAAGAACTATGGGATGGTACAATTAGTATTGGCGGCCACCCCATGGCTCCCCACCTGCTCCTTTCTATGGCCTGATGCCTTATATTATTTGGCCCTTGCTGACCTGCCAATCTCATCTGCCACCTTCCCCTAGCCTAGTCTACTCTGATCAGTGACATCCTTATTGTCCCTTGTACAAAGCTCATTCATTGCCACCTTTGTCCTCACAGAGCCTTGCAGGTCCCCCATATTTTCAGTTTCCTTACCCTCAATTTAGGACACTGTTCCAATTCACCTCCTTAAGGAATGCCCTGACTATGCTAAAATACCTTGTCTCCACCTCCCCACACTCTCTGTTCATCTGTCCTGCTGTTTTCTTTCACAATTAACTCTACCTGAAATGATATTATTGATGCAAGTGTTCATTTTCCATCTGCTCTATCAGAATGTAAGCATCCTGAGAGGCCAGTGCAATTTTGTTCTCTTTTGTTTCCTTACCTCTGAGAATTATGCTTGCAAATCATAAATAATTGATAGCAATCTTAGAGCAAAAAGAATGAATGATAGCAACCTTTGATTCCTATGGTCAAATAGCGTAATTTTAAACAATTTTTTAATGGAGGTAATCATAGGGCTACTTGGGCTGGGTCTGGTGGCACACACCTATAATCTCAGTACTCTGGGAAGTTGAAGCAAGAGGATCCAAGTTTGAACACAGCCTGGGCAACTCAGCAAGACCCTGTCTCAGAATACAAAATGGGCTAAGGGTGTAATTGTTCATGGAGAACTATGTTTTATCTGCAGTAGTGCATTAAAAAAAAATGTATCTGGGCACATAGGGACATTTGGAGAATTACCTGGGGGCAGGGCCAGCATGGCATGTGGTGCCAGGCATTGAACTCCAGCCCCTGCGCTTGCCTAAGCAGGCACTTAAGTCTGCTGAGCTATCTCACCAGCCTTCACTTTGAATGATTTGATGGTATGTGACCTAACGAATTTACAAGAGAAGCAATAATCTCATTAGTGGAACTGAATTTTGGAAAGATCACATCAAACAGCATAAATTTATTTAGATCCTTCACCTAGGATTTTTCTTTTCACATTAAAGCTTAATTTTGTATCTATAAATGTTGGTTTGTGGTTTCATTTCTCTTTTGTCCTTCCAGAAGGAAAGCAAGGCTATTAGTCTGTGCTGGCTCAGTTGTTATCCTCTTAGTAGACAGCACAACAGCAGCCTGGAAGCAGCCAGTAGCTAAACTTCATGAAGGTCAGCAGAAGTGGCAGGAAAATATGGTTACCAGGTCTTAAGTGTGAAGATGACTCAAAGATAAGATACACTGGATGGGTTTTCCACCTATATCCTGACTTTGGGAAGCTGTGGTATAAAATGAAAAGTCCCTGGGAACTAGAAGGACCATTATAGAAACTACAAATAAACAACATAGTCCTAATCAGAATACCCTACTGGAGAAATGGTGTTTTGCATTATGGAAATACATAATTAATGAACTGTACTGAAATGGCCTAATAGCATGGTTATTTTATTTCTAGAGGACTGCCTAATAGGTTTGTAGACACAAACCCAAGGTTACATACCAGCTATGCAAACAGATTTGCCAATCACAACAGAATTTTCATTGACATATAGGACTTAAGATCCTGTTCCACACCATCTGTAGCTGTTATCTGAGATCATTTGGGATACTACTGGTGCCCAGCACATCTCAATACTTTTTCTCCCAAAGAGACTGTTTTTAGAAAATATATCCCTGGTTCATCATTCCAATCTTCTACTATATTCAGCAATGTAATGCCTGATTGCTTCAAAATCCCTTAAGTGTTTCTGTTGCTAACGCTCTGGGTGGTCTACATTAGATTACAGATAACACTTCTCTGTGTGGTCACACTATATTTTATTCTGAATCCTATTACAGGTCAGCTAGGCTGCTGGTGAGGTGGTTTTAAACTCAGTTGTTATTTTCAATAGGGCATACTGGCCTCTATGATATGGTTGCAAAACTCCACGTTGGTTCTTTGTGACAGGGCAAGATGGACTGAGAGACTAATTTCCTGTTTACCATGCTTGGAGCTCAGACATATCTGGAAAAGCATAACAAATGGGGTAGCAGACAATTGGTCTATCTTGTGTGAAGTACTAAGGAGACTCTTGGGAGAAAATTCAACCAGGGTCACGTGAGCTTTTCTTCAGAAAATCTTAGTTCTCGGAGTCATGAGATAGCTTGAACATCGTATCTTCATTTAGATTTATTCTGGCACAGACCGGTTAATTCATTGTAACTCCTACAGAGATGGACTGTAATTAACGTTAACAACTGTTCTTTCTACAAACTTGGGCCCACCCATCACTGCTTTATGTACTTCAGTAGAAAGTAACATGCAGGTACAAGAAAGTTGATCTCCATTTGGCCTGTGTTCTCCATTTCACCACCTGTGATGGTTATTTTGTGCTAACTTCACTAGGTCACGTCAGGGTAAATGTTATTTCTGATGTGTCTATGAGAATATTTTGGGAAGAGATTAGCCTTTAAATTGGTATACTGAGTAAAGTACATGACCCTTCTCAACATGGGTGAGCTTCATCTAATTTGTCAAAGCCTGGATAAAAAGCTATAGGCAGAATTTTTTTTTTGCTCCAAATGCCTTCAGGGCAGGTTTGGCTGGCTTGAGTTGTGGGGATCGAACCACAGCCACCTGAGCCTGACAGCTTTGGGGAAGCAGCCACTTAAAGAACTGAGCAAGGGCCAGGGCCCCATAAAAAGCTATAGGAAACAACCTGGTGGCATATGCCTGTAATCCCAGCATTTGGGAAAGCTGAGGCAGGAGGATTGCCACGAGTTTGAGGCTAGCTGACTACACAAGTTCAGGGCTAGAATGAGCTACATGACAAGACCTTGTCTTAAAAAAAAAAAAAAAAAAAAAAAAAAAGTCACAGGGTGAATTTTCTGATTACTTGAGCTGGAACACTAATATTCTGCTCATGGTACTCCTGGTTCTCAGGCCTTCAGAATAAGATGGAATCTATACTATTGGCTCTCTTGCTTTCATGTCTTTGAACTACACTGATGATTCTTCTGGGTCCTGTTTAAACTGGACATCAAGGGACTTCTTAGCTCCATGATCACGAGGATACCTTATGTACATGCATGTGCACCCACCAGACTGGTTCCTGAAGGCCTCCACTGGTGCTGCAGGCAACAGCAGCTGTAAGGGTGCCTGATCCAGATGGCAGAGTGGCTGCGGAGACAGGAAGACTTATTACATCCAAGAGCAACGGTGGGACCTGTTGTGTGATGGAACACCCAGCACACCCAGCCGCAAAGGGCTATGTGGTCACCAGGGCAGCAGCATCCAAAGGAAATAAAAGGGATTCAGCAGGGAAAAAAAAAAAAAGAGAGCGCAGATGCCACGTGGTAGTTCACCAGGCAGCCAGCTGGACTTGTAGGAGCCTAAGAAACTAAAAGCATTCTCAACACTGACTTTTGTTAACACTGCATGAGCAGATAGAGCCAAAACGCCAGTAGTGTTTCAGTCTCCTGACTCTAGTTCTATTGATTAGCAGATGTTTACTGGCCACAGTATTTTTATTCTGAGCTCTGTTCAAGATATGCTGTGTGTTATCTCACATAATCACCCCATCTTACAGCTAATTAAGGCATGGACCTATCCTGACTCCAAGCCTCCTGACCATTTTCACTCGGAGTTATGTCAAAACCCATGGCCAAGTATGACTCCATTTGTTCTTTCCTTCAACTCCTACCCTTCTTGTGCTCCTTATTTTAGGGCATGCTATCACCTCCTAACTCTCTAAGCCAGAAACAAAGTATCCTACATTCTTCCCTTTCATTCCTTGCCCCATCAAATTGTCAGATGTTTGCTATTCTGAATGTCTGTGCTGCCCGAAAATTCACGTTAAAATCCTGAGGGCTGGCCACATAGCTCTGCAGATTAAAGCACCTGCAACCAGGCACAGGGGCTAGGGGTTCGATCCCCAGGCCTGCCATGCCGGTGCTGAACCTGGGGCATACTGAGACGGCAATTGAGACTGGGCATGGTGGTGTGCACCTGTCAATCCCAGCACTTGGGAGGCTGTAAACAGGTGGATCACTACAAGTCAACAGGGCAATCACTACAAGTCCAATCTAGTAGTGAGACCCTTCCCCTCTCTCTCTCTCTCTCTCTCTCTCTCTCTCACACACACACACACACACACACACACACACACAAATCCTAACCTGAGGTGACTATATTAGGAAGTGGGGGCTTTTGAGGCTGACTAGGTTGTAAGGGTAGAATGTTCATGAGTGAGATTTGTGCCATAAACAAGGCAGACCCTTTGTCCTTTTAGCCATGAGGACAAGGGAAAAGACAGCTAGCTAGGAAACAAGCTCTTAGCAGACACCAAATCTCTCAATGATTTAACCTCAGGCTTTGTCTTCCACAACTGTGAGAAATAATTTTTTTGTTTATGAACTGCCTAATAGATGATACTGTATAGCAATCTAAGTGGGTGAAGACATTGCAATTTTTATGTCCATTTTCATAAATTTCTACTTTCCAGTTCTCAGTGTGTAGCCTTTCTCTAGACTACCGTTTTCCTCTGGGAGCAGTGTATCTAGTCTGTCTAAAGGATTCTTCCTCCCATCCATTCTCCATGAAACAGAGACTAATATCTGAAATGCAAATATTCTCTATCTGCTTAAAACATCATAGTCTCTCATTGCATTGTAGATGAAATCCAAGCTCTTTAAAATAGCCTCTAGGGCCCTGGGATTCAACCATTACTATCCTGTTCATTCTCTAGCATAAAAGAAATGTTCACAGGTTCTCGTATAAGTGATACTGGTCCTCAGCTTGGGTTTTTTTCCTGTCACCTCATCTATGTGGAGTAGGTTCTCATGAAGCCAGCCCCCTTTACCTGCTCAGCTCATTGGTATCCACACATGCTTCATGACTTGGTCCTCACACCCACAGGCTTTAGACTCAGGATTCTTCTAATGAGCATCTGTGCATCAATTCTGAGAACTGTCATCTGTACTTCTCCACAGATTTTCCACGATTCTCAACATTCCTTCTAGAACCCCTGCTAGATGTATCTCTGCACTGCCAACTTAGTGCAAATTCTCTGTCTTACTTTGTGTTACATTCTGTACTTTTTCAATTCTAAAAAATCACCTTTTCAGCTATGTCCAAGCTGGTGGCGAAATTTTTCCCCCCCCCCCCCCCCCGTGGTTTGGCTCTTTAGAACTCTAATCGGTCTATTTTTCAGTGTTCCAGTTCTTACAATTTCCAGGCTTTTATAAGCTTCGGTCATTTTAAGTATATGTATTACAGTAGTCTTTGTCATTGTACGATTATCCCAGATTCCTGGACATGTTAAATTTTTTATTTATGTCTACTGTCACTCTTTCACTTTTATTTGGCATATAATTTTTAGAGCACTGGCTGTCTTACGGCTGTTGGCTGTACTTTTGTTGTGGAATTATTGTTAAGAATGCTTTTGTCTGGCCACTTCCTGCATTTCACCAGACCAGAACTAATTTGTAGTTTTGGGCATGGAAAATTCCACACCATACATGCTGTCTGGAAGCTGAAATAGCACAAAGCATAAACCTTCACTTTCTTGCAGGGAATTTTGTCTTCTGCCCATAACACAGGTAAAGAAGCATGTATCTTCTCCAAGTTTTCAGAGTGTAGAGAAAAGGTACTATTCCACTACACTGAACAGGCAACTTACCAGTCTTCCCTTTATCCACTGTCTCAGCTCCAGCTTCTTGTCTTCCCAGGACCAAGGTCATATCTCTTCCCAGCCTGCAGGCTTCCTGCTTTACATTTCCCCATGGCTTCTAACTCACTTATGTACTGAAACCTTATTTGCCTCTTGTGTTTATAGTTGAGGGTCCACTAATTTAGTACACTATTATTTGAAAACACTTTATAAAGACTTTCTCTTACAATGCTAACAATCATATGACACTAAAGGCTACTTTTAGTAAGTGGCAGAACCAACAGTCAAAATCAGATTTGTCTGATCCCAAAGTATTATCATTTGGTTAAATAGTATTTACAAAAAAAAAAAAAAAAAAAAAAAAAAAGATTTTTAAGGTGGCACTAACTAGTAGTAACTAAGAGTTCTACATTCACTAATTTTTTGCTAGTAGTTTTTAAAGGCATACATTATCTTAATTAGTATGTACGTCTCACTACCAGCAAGGCTAAACATTTATTCACTGTCACTTCTACCTCCTATTACTTTTCCTGGAGTAGAATCCACAGGAGGCAGGACAACCAGACACCTAAGGCAGAGTGCAGATCACAGATGAAATCTACCACAAATCAGGGCCCACTTGGAAAATAAGTAGGTGTTTATTATCTGGGATCAATAAAGGAAAAAGCAAACTTACTAAAATATTTCTTTATTTAAGTAAGGTCAATGTTATTTTTTGAATTCCAGCTAGCATCAAATAACAATCAGAAAAAAAACCTGACAAAATATTACCCAATTGAAATTGACAATCAATAGAAAACTTTTTAAAATTTTAAGTAATATCAGAAAAGAAATATATCAAGCAGGCAACATATGAATCCAAAAAGTGGCAAGAGCTGATTTTTCACTAGATCTTATAAAGAAAAAATGCCCAATATAATAATTTGTTCACTATCTCCCCTCAATAATGACATGAAAAGGAAAAGATAATCACATCTTAATATTCACAATTTTTACTTATGTTCTTCACAAAGATTATAACTTTGCAAAGCAGCAATCCTTTATTCAAGTAATTTGTTTCCCCAAGTTATCAAAAAAGTACAGCTGTCTGAGATAAATTGTCACCACAACCATAATCAGGAAAGCACAGCACATTAGCAGGTAGGCTTCACGGTGGGACACCTCATGGCCTGACCATGATCCAAGGATGATTTTGTTAGGCTTAAAAGCTAGCAAACGTACCAAGAGCTAAAAGCAACAACCTGGATTTAGTTAACAGTTGAGAAGGAATCAAGAGTTCTAATTAAGAGGAACAGTACATAAATGGTGAGTATAAAAGAATCAGTGCACATTTGCTAATTTCATTGATAATAAAAATATTACACTATGTTCTTAGCTTTAAAGCCAACAATATTTCTGGGTTTCGTTTGTGTTTCTTTTTCATCCCTGACCTTGGTGGTTCTCAGTCTCTAGTATGCTCTGAGACCTTGGTGGTACTGCTGAACACTGATGCCCTGAAGCCCTGCCATAGTTTTGATGCAAGGGGCTTACAGGGGGCCCAGGACTCTGTATTCTGAACAAGCATCCCATGCCTCAGACGGTCCACAGATCATACTTTGAGAAAACTGATATGTCTTTACTATATAACAAACGTATTGGCTATTCTGTGACTTTAAAGTTTCAAGCTGGATAAATATTCAAATAATTAGAATACAAAATAGGTACATAGTGTTAGTCATTATGTAATTGCATTCTCTTCTTTAAAGCGGCATCATAAACACAATGACTTATATCGAAAATTTAAAATAAATGTTTAGTCCAAGGCACCTGTAAAATACTTGCTGGTGTGAAAGAAGTGAGGAAATTCAATTATACAAGAGTAGAGAAGTGAAAGAATTCTGGCAGTGACATATTTTTCCACTGAAACAAGCTATTCAGTTAATGATTTTGAGGAAAACAACTAATTTCAAATAAAATTAAACATTCTGAATAAACTATTTCACTGAGCGATTTTAAACAAATTAAATTCATTAGTAAAAAAAAAAAGATAAAGATTCATGTTCATGATTTTTCATAATAGCCATCTCCACTTGTCTTAGGAATGATCAGAATAATTGATTCCCCTTGCATTTTAGCCTGAAAAATGTACACTGCATAGGTCTGGTACTCCTTTACTGTTCAGCCACGAGTGGCCATGGACTTTATAATACTGGATTTGGCAGCCTTTTATCTCAAGAGGATTTCCCAAGTGTCATAGTCTATAACTTAAAACATTCTTCTGCAGTTATTAATATTTTTCATGGAACATGAGTAAATTCTGTGATGATGATGTCTCTGAAACATGAATTTCAAAATGTTAACACTACAAAGGAGAAGTGTGAAAGGAGCATTTTATATGCTGAAGTGACTTATTAGTGTATTCTCTCTCAGAGTTCTACGGTAAAAATATAAAAAGCAACATGAGAGTGCACACACAATTTTCATTAGTAATGCCATATGCAAAATTCTTCATCAGATTTTAGGTCACTAGCCCAATTTGTAAATGACATTTGATGTAAAATTAGGAATGCTTGGAAGAATTCAACAGTACTTTTTTGAAACAGTATTATTCTGGGTAATATGACAAATGAAAGACAAGCCAGGAAACGTACATCTATAGAAGCTGTGAGAACAAAAATTAAACTACTTTAAAATGTCATTTATACATGGTTTCTCTAATACCTAGAACTATGTACAAAGACTATAAAATTTTCTTTCCACCTTTACCATTTCATGGTTAAGGGTACTAACAAGTGCTTCACAGCATTCTTAGTTCCAATATTAAAAGGAAGAAGTCAGAAGTATATATGCTATTTTTAAAATTTTCCCTCCAAAAATCTGAAAACTGCTACTTAAACAAGCTCCTTGATTTAAAAGGGTACACAACTAGTTAAAAACCCTTCATTACATGGAACAATATAAATCAGAATGAATGTAGTGGGTAGGTTTTGTGAATTTGAAGTTATCTTCAGGACACAAAATCTGAGCTGAATTACATGTTGGACAAAATGGGAGAGATAAAGTCCTTAAACTAAAAATATTAATAGAAAAATATTTTCACAATATTACCTGACACCAAATTGGAACAAAGACAATAAAAATATGGGCCACCATGAAATACATATATTGCCAGGCAAAGTACCTGATTTTTATGCAAAAAGCAGCTCTTAATTTTCCCCCAAATTTCTTTAAATGTGAAATACAGCATTTCATTAAATATTCTGAAGCCTATTATTTACATCCTAAAGCTCTCAGACAAAATATTCTTTGATTCCAGAGGGAGATGTTTTAAGACCAAAGGACTGCAGGACTGGTCTTACAGTAGGAACCTCTGACCCCTAAAGAGAGACTCTGGTTATGAAATACATGTAACAGGGAGCTCATAATTTGACCTCATATACTGGGAAGCATGAAAGCAAAAGTGTTTATTTTAAATAAAAAAATCTGGGCCAGGGAGATAGCTCAGTAGAATATGCGCTTGCCTGGCAAGTGCAAGGTCCTGAGTTCAATCCCCGGTACTGCAATAAACAAACAAACAAAAAAACTCCAGAAATCTCTAATACAGGAGACTTAGGGTAACACTCACATCTAGGGGGTGTCCCTTGTTTTCTATTATGTAAGATTTTACTTCTTAATATTCTGTTTAGTGATTGCAATCTATGGACTGAAATTTAAACAGGTTTATGTGCTATCAACAAATTTACATGTTGTTTTCCTTTTTTTTAATGTTTATTCTTCCTGAAAGTCAACATTTCAACAGTTTTTATACAAAATTAATAATTTAGACTATGAAGCAATTTAAATACTTAAATTCCCTCAAAAAGCATTTTGTACATACATACATGATTGACACATATGAAAGTGGTGGTCAAAAGAATTTCTTGGCAGCTGCTTCCTGTTGAGTCCTAAAACGAGAAAAATTGAAAGTTCGATTTTTTACTTAGCTTTATTAAAAAAAAAAAAAAGATTGCTTAACATTAAAATATCAAAGCCAAAAAAGAAATATCAAAGCCTTTTGAAATATTACTAAGGTAAGTATATATTCTACACATGAACTCTCAGAATGAACTGAAATAGACTGTAAAACTAATTTCATAGGTATTAGAAGTTCTACTGTGATCATACACTACTTGACAGACTATTTCAAACTGAATGAAGAAAAAATACGATGAATTTCATCAAAAGACTTACCTATACATGATATAACCAATGAATAACACTGTTTGTACCACTACAAATATAACAAAGTGTATCGTAGACAAACATGATGGAAATGGTGGTAGTTCTGGGCATTTCAGTTTTTCATTGGATGGCTACAAGGCAAAAGAACACTGTATTATAATCATTCAAATCAGTAGTTTGGAAAAAAAGACATATATATATATATATATATATGAAACTTTATAAAAATCATGATTTACTATACAAGCAGGTACTTCCATTTATGTTCTTGAAAATATTTTCGATTTCATCTTTCACATTTTTTTGGCTGGCTCGGGCTGCCTTAAGGATGGGTCTCGTGCAGCATGGAGTTGGGGATTAAACTGTGGTCCCTTATGCCTGTCTTGAGATTGCCCAAGCAGGTGCTTTTTTTGCATTTTAGAGAAGGTTCTACAGGGTGTTCAGGGTTTCACTGTGTAAATTGGACTCATAGTGATCCGCCTGTTTACAGCCTCCCAAGAGCTGGGAATACAGGCGCGTGCCACAACACCCAGTCTCAATAGCTGTCTCAGCGGGTCCCAGGGATGGGGCTGGCAGGCAGGCCTAGGGATTGAACCCCTGGCCCCTGTGCCTGCTTGCAGGTGCTTTAATCTGCTGAGCTAATCTTTTACATTTTTAACTTAAAAACTTTTTTTTTTAAAGAGTAGCTGAGGGTCTGGGAGATGGCTCAGTAGAATAAGCACTTGCCTGGCAAGCACAAAGGCCTGAGTTCAATCCCCAGTTCCACAAAACAAACAAACAAACAAACAAACAAAAAAAAAAAAACAGTAGTTGACATGGAAAGTCTTTCTCTTTGTCCTTCTCCAGTCACTAGGTTACTGTTATCTGGTTCCTATCTTCCTTATCAATCATAATTTTAATGTCTTTGATGATTCTAGACTTTAGGGTTATCATAGATCATCCCCCCCCCGCCCCCTGTACATTTTCTGTTTATACTTCCTGTACTGCTGTATTCCCAGTGCCAAAAGTATTCCAGGTAAGTTACCTTGCAATGAATTATTTGATAAAATAAGGCTTTTTCTAAGTCTCTATCCTCTCTAATCTAACAGCATTCAACAGTACTGCCTAGTGTTCTCAAAAATGCTTCCCTTCCTATTTCCATAAGTATTCCTTTTAGCTTATGTAGCTAATTAAATATAAGGCAAAAAGATTTCAAGGTATACAGAAATAAGGTCTTTAAGATTGGTTGTTCTTAATATGGTTACATCTATCTAGGCAAAGTTCTTTTATATATATGTAATGTATTTGTCAAAGCATCAAGTTGGCCACTGAACCAATGGCAAAACTGGAGAAAAATAATCTCAAACAAAACTGAGATAATAATATTTTAGAAGCTGGGCATGGTGGGACATGCCTGTAATCCTAGTACTTGAGAGACTGAGGCAGGTGGGTTACCATGAGTTTGAGCCAGCCTGAAGTACACAGTGAGACTCTGTCTCAAAAAGACAAAAAACCCAAAAAACAAAAAAACCAAAACCTTTAGAAATGTCATAGTAAGAAAACTATTGAGACAGCCATGTTTGAAAAAAGGGGGGGGGCGGGGAGATGGCTCAGTAGAATAAGCGCTTGCCCCTAGTACAAGAGCCTGAGTTCAATCCCTGGTTCTGCCAAACAAACAAACAAACAAAAAAGAATAGAAATATAGTTTTAAAAGGCAATGTGTAACACCCACAGCCTAACGAGAACATCACAAAGAGAAAACTATTCTCTAAACTGATAAAACTATGAGACATCTACTTTAACCAATCTTCAAACTTTAACACAAGAACACAAAAATAATGAGAAAACAAGGCATAAAATACCACCAAAAGTTCATAATCTCCCCCCAATTTTTTTTTTTTTTTTTTTTGGTACTGGGAATCAAACTCAGCACCTCGTGCTTGGCAGGCAGGCACTGTACTGCTGAGCTATATTCACAGTCCTACTTCCCCAAAACTGATTCCATAGATCTTTCAAAAAATTAAAAAAGAAGTAATGGTTAAGACAATACATGACATCAAGAAGACACAAATAAACAGCTGAATAAGTTAGTAAAATGATCAATGTGCTTAAAGAAGATACAAACAGTTGAGTAAATTAAGGAGAAAATAATACGCAACATGAAAGACCACTCTGGTAAAGAAATAATGGATTCTAAGACTGGGTGTGGTGGCACACACCTGTAATCCCAGCCATTGGGAAGGTAAAAACAGGATGATCACTGAGTCCAACGTGTGTAGTGAGACCCTGTACTAAATACATAAAAAAAGAAATAATGGATTCTGAAAAATAATCAAATAGAAACCATTCTCAGTCATATAAAAAACCCAACTGAAGAAATATATATAATGAATCAGCAGAAAGAGTACTGGAACTTGGAGATAAAGGTAGACAATATTAGAACATTCAGTCAACGGTAATGGAAAAAAGAATGAGAACAAAAAGACCCATGAGCTCGTAGACAATTTTAAGAGTACAAATTTAAGAATAATTGGTCTTCAAAATTAGAGAAAAAGGAGGGCCGCAAAGAAAGCCAACATTTTGGCCTTAGCCTTCCAAGGTCAATTAAGACTCAGGACATATGAGAACTTGTACTGTAACATCATGTAACTTGGCAGTGTCCCAAATTTTCTGATCAAGGAGATTATGGGGCCAAAGAGGAAAGTGATCAATGATGTAGAGTGTGCCTAAGGAGAGTCACATGGAGAGAAAACATTCTCTCAGGCTTTCACAGAGAGCACATTGGCCAAGCAATGGCTGTGACACATCCACATGGCTGACACTGACAGAGGTTCTACAATCTGAAGTACAGGATCTCAGGATAAACCCTGAGGGGATTTCACTGATCTTATCAGACCTAAAAGCTACAACTCTTGTTGTATAGGTCCTGCTTTACCTTGATCTTGACCATCCAGCAGAAAAGTATAAAAAAGAAATATAAGAAGTAAAGCCATGCTGTTATGTTGAGCTGTGGGGGACTCAGGTCAACAATTTCTGACATTGCCAGTCAAGCGGAAGACCCAATACTATTATGGGCTACTGAACTCTTTTAGAATATTTTGCTGAGTTTACACACCTATAATATTTAAGAGATAGAACTTAACAAAAAAAGGGGATACAGATGAATGTCCATTTTGTATCTGTGTATTCAAAGTGGTTAGGATAGATATACAGTTATATTCTCTTAATGAATAGAGATTTTTTCTAATGGTGTTTGTAAATAGGATATCAAGTCTGCATCTTAACCACTAGGAAAAATGTATGCAATGTGTTAATTATTGAAACTGTCCTACCAATTTGATTTGCAACTGTCTCATTGCTATTTGTTTCTCAATAAAATTATGAAAAAAAAAAGAATGATTGGTCTTGATGAGTGTATGGAAGTACTGGCAAATGGCACAGAAAACATTGAAACCATAGCAAAATAAGCTTCAAAGTCTGGGCGATGAGATGAATACCCAATACTGGAGACATCTGTGATTCTCAAATAGTTATGGCCAGAAAAGAACATCTCCGTGCATAACACAGACAAACTGCCAAAAAATTCAGAACAAAATATTAAAAGCTGATAGAACTACAAAATCACTTAAAACCCATCAGAAAAACAACAGATTTTTAATTAGAAACCCTACAGGTCAAGAGGGCCTAGAATGATCTATTTTGAACTGTTACAATAACTGCCAATCTACTATATCTTACAAGACTATCCTTCAAAAACCAAAGGATAAATGAATACTTTCTAAGATAAGGGTAAACTGAAGAAGCTAATGACTACTAAGTCAGCAATGCAGGAAGAACTTAAGTGAATTCTAAACACAGAGGAAGAGGACAATCACATCCATGAGATCAAGGCACAGAATAAGTCTCAATGGGAGAATATATATAAATAAATGAAACTAGGGAACGAATCAAGCACTAGAACAACAACAACAAAAACATGACTAGAATAAATACCTACCTTTTAATTGATTCTCCAATAAAAGACATGACTGAATCAAAAGATGTGACACAACTCTATACTTCTTACAAAAAAACCCCCCAAAACAAACAAACAAAAAAACTAAAAACACTTCCTCTGCAAAGACCTACATTCTGAAAGTGAAAGGATGAAAAATGATACTCCAAGGAATTGGAGCCCAAAAGTTAGCAATAGTAGCTTACTTATATCTGACAAAGCAGATGTCAAACTGAAATCATAAAAAAAAAAAAAAAAAAAAGATGGCCGTTACATATTGGTAAAGGGACAATTTACCAAGAAGAGTAACGATTGTAAATATATATGTGTCAAACATTACTGCACCCAATTTCATAAACATTACTTAATATTATGGATCAGAAAGATCCCAACACAATAACAGTGAATGAGTTCAACACACCAGTCTCAGAATCAGACCTACCAGACACCTGCCCCTGCAAATAATCAATAAAGAAACAACAAAGTCAAATTACATTGTTGAACAAATGGACCACACACTTCTACAGAGTACTTGATCTAAGAAGAACAGAAAACACAATTTTTTCAGCAGCCCATGGAACTTCTTCCAAAATAGGACATATATTAGGTCATAAATGTTTAAAAGAAATCCTGAAATAATCTCATGCATCCTATCAGATCACAATGAACGAAAAACTAAAACAGAAGAAACTGAAAACTAGGCAAACCTACGGAGCTTAAATAATAATTTTTGAATGATTAAAAGGCCATTAAAGATACCGAAGAAGAAACTTTAAAATTCCTAGAATCAAGTGATAATGGGCTTTCATGTACTAAAAAATTTTTTTCAAAAAATTTAAAAAGACAGAAATACAATAGTAGAATCTGTACGACACAAAGAAAGCAGCCTTAAGAGAGAAATGGATAGCTGTGAAAGCCTGTATCAGAAAAAAAAGCAGTTCCAAATAACTTAATGATACATCCTAAGGACCTAGAAAAAACAAGAACAAAAAAGAACAAACCAAACCCAAGTAGAGAAGGAAGAATAATAAAGATCAGAGCAGAAACAGATGAAGTAGAGACTACAAAGACAAGAAAAAGGATCTGTGAATCAAAGAGCTTGTTCTTTGACAAAGTAAATGAATTTGTTAAGCCCTTAGCCAAACTTGCCAAAAAATG